ACTTGAGGCTCCTGTTTCGCAGATCCATAAGGTGGAAGTATGAGTACACGTGGTGGGAACCAAACCAACCTATTTATAAAATGCAGGAGACTTGACCAGGTTCTCCCTGGAAGTGGGATGAGCCATCCCCAACCCCAGGCTCACCACCCTTCCTCCTCTCCCCATGCCAGCTGCCCTCTTGGCCTCCTCTGGGAAAGGGACTCCCACATCTTCCCTTTGCAGCAGAAACATGGAAGTTCATTTGACTTTCTAGACCTTATGGTCTTTCTGTTTCTTCTTTGGGAGAAGCAGAAGGGAAGGCTGGAAGTGGGCTGTGTGCCTGGAATCGACTGGAAACTGGGGAGGGGAGCAGTGATGAGTTTCTATTGTGCACAGCATTACTCCCAAAGCACTTCCAGTTTGCAGGTGTCATCTGACTTTTTTTTCCCCCCACTCCTTGGCTCAGAGTCCTATTTCCTTTCCCAGGCTGCTGCTATATCCAAATGCTTCCTCCCCCTTCTCCCCGGGTCTCCGCTGGGTTTGTTGTACTCTGAGCGGAGCACATTTCACAGGACCGTTTTGCATAAGGGCTCCTTGGATATTTCACCCCCTCCACCGAAGCCATCTCCCATGTACGGCTGACCTCACCTCCTCCCTTTCTTTGTGCTTGGGGCTGTACTCCTGCACCTCTCTTTCAGGGACAGCCCTTGCCTAAACATACAAACCTGCTGCTGCAGTGCTTGTCTCTTAGGAGCCATGAGAAAAAGCCATAAGCAGACCGGGTCACAGACCCAGGCTTGGCACAGGCAGTCTGTGTTTGAACATAGCTTCTCAGCATTTGGAAAGAGTCACCCCCATGCACACACCAATCCTCACTTGCTCCTTCTGCACTCAGGAAGACAGCAGTGGCTGTGACAGATCACATACAGGCTGAAAACATCCTGCAGCTTGGCTCAAGCTTCCTGCACAGCTGAGAGCCTCTTCCCTTCCCTTCTTCCTCCAACACACACCTGCAGTTTTTGTTCATCAGTGCCTGAAAATGCTTTTCCATCCAGCCTCAGAAAGGAGCAAAAATGGTTCTTCACTATCTGGCCATTCACTTCACACTCACTGGGACACTTCTGCCAGTGCAAAGGCCCTCCCACACTGAGGTATCACACAGCTCCCAAGGCAGCCCAAGGCAATGAAATCATTACTTACCCATGTCCGGCTGCCTGCTCTCATTCCCAACCTCAGTTCTACGTTGAGGTCAGTGCTCAGGGAACAAGAAAGCTGTCAACAAGACTAAGAACTGGGCACATAAATAACCTGCAAAGCAGACTGTAGAGGGCAGTGAGTTTTCCAAACAACAAACATGGTGATTTACATGTGTGTACCTGTCCTCTGTGTCCTCTCAGGTGGCACTGAGGAGAGCAGGCAGAGACCCTCACTTATTTCAGTAGCAATAAGCAATTACTGAAGTCACTCAACAGCTAATTTGTAGTGGGTTTTAGTATTTCCACTTCACAGGGTCAGCTGCCCAGCTCTCGGATACTGTCAGCAGACTGAGTAGACGTAACCAGCTTTGTGTGGGGGCAGAACTGTAAGCAGGAGTGAACTGAAAAGAGGAGGGGAAGGTAGCACAACTCTGATTTGTTGTTGTTACAGCACAACATACACACACACACTCATTATACATACCTGTTACAATTCACCATCTAAAATGTCATGTTACAGGCTATGTATCAACATGCAGACCCAGTTCATATGTTGCCCAGAAATACGGATGCTTACATCAGCTAGGGACCATTATATACATTGCTTGGAATAAAGACACGAAAGAATTAATTTTAAAAATCTTTATGTGAATATAAAAGAATTCTTTCCAAAGAAAAATAAAACAAAAAGTTTAAAAATTAGTGCAATTTTTCAAGTTCTATCCAACACAGTGTTTATATATTTTTTAAACAGAAGATGTAGACACCAATACACTGAAAACCTTAACTCTAGCTTGACTAGTGGGGAGGGGGGAAGGGAGAAAAGCAAAAAAAGTTAAGAAAATTACTTTACTAGACATTATGAACTCTTAAACAATTGCTTTCATTTTCTAATTCCTAAACTAGTTATGGCTACCTAAATAAAACATCAGTATTGCTTATATTACTTATTTCCAAGTAAGTGTATATTGTAGAAAATAGAATACCCATATATATATTTTTAATGAACAAAAAATCAGGTGAAAATTTACTTTCAGTGAACTTTTCTTAATCCAGTAAAATACAGTTGTTGGAAAAGAATCTTCTCAAAACTGCTGCCTGATCCACCTTGATTAACAGAACCTACTAGTCCAAAATTTGTATTATTGCTACAAAACACTTATCTGTCATATTAGTTATTCTTAATCTTATATAAAAAAATATTAACAAATATGTCAATCAGAACATATTTTTGTTTCTTTGGATCTATATTACCCGTTTTACTGGAAACTGGCTAACGTTACTAATTATGCTGATTAAATTCAGCAATATTTAATGATTTCATCTCCTAATTTCAGTCTGTTCCTAACTGTGCTGTCTGGGCATGATACGAATTCGTCTTGCAGCAGAGACAAGGAGCCTCTTTCTTCGCCCTGCCTCAACAGTGGTGCACATTAGAAAGAACATTGTATTGACACTGTTCCGCTGCTACGTGTTGCATACAACTCCGCTGTAACACAGAAATGCTGTTGGTAGCTTTTTGTGTTTGACATGAATGAAGTTAACATTAACATGGTATTCATTCTAATGATCCTTTCTGCACAGCCAGATGAGCTGAAGCGAATACAACACCATGGCTTATAATCAAATATTTCTATAGATCAGTTCCTCATTCATAGCTCGTAACCCAAGTTTAACCAGTTATAAACCAGCCACTCTTAAACAGGTTCGCAATCCCAAAGAAACACTTAAGTTATATTCACAGGCTTAACTTTGAACAGTTTGGAAGAGTCCCAAATAAGTAAAGTTTTATCTAATACCTGAAAACCCAATTCATTTTTGGCAACCTCAATAAGACTATTGGGGACAAGCTTGCCCTGAAAAAGGTTGATCCCTGCCTGTAGTTCCATATTTAAATTCTTCCAGTACTAGTCAGAAGATAATCTTCCAATTAAATGATAGGGAGGTTCTTGATCATTTTTGGTCCCAGGGTCTGCAGTTTTGAGAAGCGTACAAAGACATTTGCTCCAAGTTTTTCACTATTCAGCACCCAATACGACTACTGACACAGCTCTACTACTGCGAGAAGTATGACAAATGCATCAAGCCTAACTAGATGAGTATGGGAAAGACATCCATGAAAGTTCCATGCTGTAAAGAACGAGGGTTAAGAGACCCATTTGACACCATCAGTGACAGCTTCACATTTCACTAGAACACACCGAAGTACCAGGCTTTAGAAATGTAAGCATCTTGCTAAGACTTAGTCTCCCGTTCCACTGCTCACCACCATCTCCCACACCACTAGCAGATTACACAAGCAATTATATCTTAGAAATACAAACCCCAATAATATCACTGCAGCAATAAAAGACCTCAAAACCCAAGAGGTAGTCCAAAGAAGCATAGAGTCCTGAAGAACACAACCTGACAGACAAAACTCTGCAACAGCAGTTTGTCTGGCATATTCTCTGCTCATATCACATTTAGCATGAGACTGGCTTTTAAATAACGCCTTGTGTAGACATAAGTTTTGAAAGAGGAAATCTCTGTTAAATGCCTAAATGTATAGCACTGTAAAACTATCACCACAATGAAGAAGCAACGCTAACTAAGTATTAAAAATGAATACTGCCCTCTTCTCTAGCATTGCATGCAATGCCCAATAAAGAATTTAAGATGCTGGGGAAGGAAGAAATCAAGGAACAAGCCGTACTGAGGGGCATGCAGAACAGAAGACTACTCAAATTTCACAATTCAAAACTTAAATTCCGCAAAGCTGAACCCTGCTCTCAAATCAAAGAGGGCCTTAATGGTTAAGACAGACATGTGCTTTCATTCACACACACGACTGAGTTTTATATTAGATCACGGACTGGTACAGCACCCTCAAATACTTAGTTTAAGTGTATTCATATTCATTTTAAGGGCTGTTGTAATTTTAGTTTAACTAGGAGTATATTGAATTTGTTCTAGACAGCTTGCGAAGAAGAAAGGACATTAACAAGGTTGCTAAAAAACACAGTTCACAACAAAAATAAGACATTTGGTAAACAAAGTGATACAAATTTTGTGAAAGAAAGCAACTTCCCGCACACAAATTTCAGATATCAATCCCCTTTTCATCATCTTTGATCCAGATACTGCAAAAACAATTACAGTTTATGCACTTTTCTCCCTGCCAACAAGCAATCTTTACTGCCAACAACTAGCAAAGCTATCTTTCATTCATCTGCCTAGCACAGTTAGTTCAGAATAAGTGAAACTACATTTAAAAAAGAAAAATAATTTCTATGCACAGGGTTGTATAAATAGCTGGAAATAAATGGGGTTCCTTTCCACCTAACCCCCCCTTTCTGCAAATAAATGCAGGGTACCAATACGCCAGACTTTTAAAACATAGCCTAGACTTTTCAATTATTATAATAGCTTTTTTTCTTACAGAGGAAAAGACAGCTTATTTGGCTTTAGGGAATTCAACATCTTAAAGACAGGTTTTCCTTAATGTATATATGCACAAACTTAATCTTCTCTTTTTTAAATAAACTGAGTAATTCTGCTTCTCACTTGAGATGACAAAACAAATCCTGTCTTCTGTTGTTATATAACAAGTCAACTTTAAATGCAAGTATTTTCTTGCTTTTAAAATCATATTTTGTAATCTAAAAAAGTGGTTTTTAAAACATGGTACCAATCCTTTAAGCTTATTTTTAGAAGAGCCCAGCAAAAATGCCCAATATTGCCAGTTTCCTGAAGTACATTTTTGCATAACATCTTCCCATTACAAAAGTCAACTTTCTAGCCCAAACCCATTAAATAAAGTTTTAAATATATAGAGCCAATTTTTATATTTACAATATATTCTGAAGGCAAATATAATTTTTTTAAGTTGTGCTTGTAAATACATACTGCAGTTATTAAATCTACTTCTACTTGGAAAACTATGTGCTACCTTCTAGATAGACCACGGATCAACTTAATCACTTCTTGACAGGTTCTGATGTTGAATTCGCAGTTGCCCACCATTTTAACCTCCTCTTTCATCAAGTAGTTAAAGCGGAAGCTATAAAACATTTAAGGACACTTTAGCAGTTAAGTTTTCCTCATGGTCCTTGTGGTTTAATCAGATGCTGCACCTGGTACTTTAACAGTGAGATTCCTTCTGGTGTTGGTGACATGACGCTGTTGAGCTAGGAAAGAGCGTCCAGGACCATCTCTGCAGGCACCACTACTGCTGACCAGTCTTGCTTCCATACCTAGCTTCTGAAGAGTTAGGCTCTGCAAATAAGTTACACAACATTTACACTGCAGCAAAAGCAGAAGAAAAAATGGCCATCTTTCATACACAAAGCACATGCTTACTTAGTAGGGGCACAGAATTTCTTTTCCAGTATTGCTTATGTACCCCCCCTCTTGCTGCCATAAAAGGTATGAACGAAGGCTGAAGAAAATAAGACGCGTTGATATTCATATACAATGTGTTAATTTTAGCTTACTGTAAAGTTGTTCCTTTATTAAGCCATATAATTTTACTTTTTTGATTTCCCTTTCCAGTCTTTCTTTATGAAACTCTTTTAAATGTTGCTTCATATGAACAACTTTATCCAGTCCTTTTCACAGCAATCTAACACCAAACATTCTAACAACCTTTGTAACACTGCTGCAGGATGAGAAGATAGCTCTAGCTTTATTTCACAAATACTGCGCTAAAGACTCTGAACACCTAAAACAGGAGCCTGGAAACCTTTTGAACCACGGTCGGTCTCTGTCTCAAGCCCAAAAACTTGAACATTGAGGAATTTAGCCTGCTAAATCCAGACGGAAGCTTGTGGCAGCAAGTAGTACATTACTAACATGGAAGTCAAGGCCTATGCCAAATTTTAAGTCTCCTGTTCCAAAGTACAAAAGACAAGCAGAAAACATAAAAAATAATTTTACAAAATAATTGTTAAAATATTTTCCCTTTATGCTGGCATTTTCCAAGTTATCTCAATAGGACTGGAAATTCCAGCTAGAACTCACTCAAGTTTGCATTCTGGCTTGAAGTCAGAATTAGCAAGTGGAAGAGTGATCTCAATTCAAACTGGAACTCTCAAACTTTGTTCCTCTCTTTAGTTCCCTGGTTTTCGACAAGGCCATGCTAATCTGCAAGTTCAGTTTTTCTGCTACACATAACTAAACTACTAGCTTCATCTCCTAAGCACCTGTTTATAGTGAATCAAAAAAGAAAAAAAATCAGCAATGTAAGATTTAAGTGTCAAATGTGTTTTTCTGATTTCTGAGATACCAACAAATTAACTTTGACCCACCTTGTTATACCATGCAGTTACAATTAGCTTTTCCTCATAATCACGTAACTTAGCAAGTTTGTATTCAGCCTGCAAGCACACAATAGAGAAGACAATCTCAATTAACACACAAAAGTAATCTGCATAAATTTACTGCAGTCCATTGAGTAAAATAAATACATGCAGCAGAAATTCTTAAATATGCAAAATAACTAGAAGGCTTAGCAGTGTAAATATACTTCCATACACGATTATGAGAGAAGTTACAGACTACTTCAAAAATAAGCTAAACTTTACACAGCTTAGAAACATGCTTTGAAGTGGTGTGGGGGAAATGCATGAAAGTCTAGAGTGTATCAGAAAAGTCTATAAATAATTTAGTAATTTTTTCACCTGAGAGTCAAAAAAAGACAAGAACGTATCTTTAGTGGCTGAATAATTGTATCATGTAACTGAATTGCTACTATATAGTACACTTACCTAGTACATACACATAGAATAAATCTGAGGCCACAGCATTTATAAAGTCAGACCTTTCAACTTACTAACTCATGTTGAGGAATTTTGTGTTTGCTCAGGTAACTATTTTAACCAGTCCCATCAATATTGCTATAAAACTGAATGCAGCATTTCCCACTTTTTTTTTTTTTTGTCCTTGGACTACTGTCACCAATCCTTTCAGGATTTCAGTCAAGCAGATTTTACTGAATTAACAGGTTTTACTCTTCTATATAGTTTCGAGAACTCCAGTACATAAAACCACTGATATCAGAGGTCTAGTAAATTAAACAATCACTGCTCAAATACCTAGTTCCTCATAAACACTGTTACATTACTATTGAAAAAGGTCAGACTCTGAAGCTCTGTACAAGTCACTGTAACACGACAAAACTATTAGTCTTATAAAGTATTTCACTTACAGCTTTTCAAAGGGTTTAGAAAGAATCCAAATTAGACTTTCAGCTGTACATTATTTTCCAACAGTGTTTTTCAAACTGTTCTGACAGACTTATACTAGGATACATGGCTAATTAAGCCAAATTAAAAATCTCTAGGTTTGATGGTCTGTGCAGTTTCTAACAGAATGCAGCATTGAGGGGTACTGGATCATTAGGAAACAGTAACTTGAGCGTCTAGTATCATAGACAGCAGAACATGTCAGAAGTTATTATTAAATATATGTAAATTTTTACCTCTAGTGCTTCAATCTTTTTGTCTTTCTCTGTTATCTGTTTTCTGAGCAACATTATTTCTGCTGAAGCTGGATTTAGCTTGGGGTCTAAGGTTTTTATCACCTGTACAAGGCAAAACAAAAGCATTACAAGTCAGGTGTCATTCTCAACAGCTCTATCTCATTTGCTCACAATAGAAATCTGAAAAGACTAAGCACTAGCTAAGGCAGTTATGATGAAAACTAGGCTGTTACACTGTACAAGAGAAGATACCAAAGGGCTGAAAGGAATCATTAATGCATCTCATGCTTCAGCCTAACCCCCGTTCTCTCACACACTCAACTGACAGCGGTTGAGCAATTTGACTAAAAATGTAACATGTAGCTACCAATTTTAATTGAGAGGTGAAGAGGGAGGCTACTCAAATCAATTTGTTTAGCAATGTATAAGGGAGGAATGTGTATGTTCAGAAATATGCCACTCACATTTCTTGCTTTCTCAAGGTACATTTTATATCTTTCTTCCATTGCTTTCATATCCTCATCTTTTTTTCGCAAAGCTGCTTCCAGCTCTCCAATCTTCTGGGCTATTTACAGAAATTGTCAACAAAGACATATAAAATAAAAATAGACATGGTTCTTTCAAGGCTTCCGAGTTCTCTTGATTTAACCATCCCCCAAAATAAACTGTCTAGCTACTACACGATTTCCTAAGTCCTTATTTTTGTTTCAGTTTTACCATAAGGTCCCACCTGACCCTGAATTCCCATTCTGCAGAGTATTGTTCAAGAAAACTAAGCCCCCATGAACCTCTCCCTGCCTACCACCATTTCAGGTTTAAAACTAAGCTGTAGCAGAAAGCCTTATCCAGACAAATATCTCATAGGCCAGGGGCTATGGGAATCATTTCAGAAGAAACTTAACACAGTCTGAATACATTAAAAAACCCAAACAAACAAAACACCAAACCACAAAAAACCACACAAAACAACTTACGGTTCTGACTAACATCAGGCTGGAGTTCTGCAAGATCAGCCTCTTTTTTCTGTAACTCATCATGAACTTCATTCCCTACAAATGAAAGGCTGGGCTAAGGATTTAGGTTACAAATAATTCAACGAACAGTTTTAAGAGCTGAAAGCTAAAACTTGATGGTGGAAGTGTTTAAACAACTATTTTAAACTCTGGCAATTCTTTTGAGTTTAAATAGAAATATTACTATGTATTTTTGAAAAACCATGAAAGTTGTGACTTCTGAATTGAGTCACATTTACCTAGAACTAGAAACAAAAAAGAAAATGAACCAAAAAAACCCTCCAGCATCTCCTTAGCAGGAACTGCATCTGTTGAAAGGATGGAGGTATTTCAGGAGAATGAATCACGTTTCGAGTCCAGTAAGAGTAATGGTTTTAGCAGTCTGTTGTAGAATAAGAACAGTTAAAAAGCTATTGGTGATGAAGAGACCGTTAAGTGGATTAGTATTACAAGATTATCACGCTCAGATTAGACAAAACTACAATGCTAATACTTAACTCACTACATGCACGATTCTCCAATCAGTGGCTTAGAAAAACAAGACATCCCCACAAAGACTTAGGCAGTTTGTGCTACAACAGTTGAATTATTTAGCATAAAAAAGCTATTGCAGATGCAAGTGCCTTACTTACATATGCGCTGCCAATTTCTGCTTCAGGTTGCTAGACTATAAAAGGAAAGTTAAAATTCAGTTGTATTTCAGTATTTCATATCATGCAATGTTAAAATGCTCTTACAAATCAGCCAAGAATACTTAACATACCTAAATAAGTCAAATCAAATAAATCCAAAGAAAACTGCTTATTTCCACAACCACATTCAAATTTTTTGCATCACAGAAATACCAAATCCAGCATCTTTTTCCTTTAAAGCTATCCTTCTCATTAGGCCAACATATAATCATAAAACTAGAGATTATAAAAAGGAAAAGGTAGAAGAGTTACAGTTCCTTAAAGAAGGGGAAGGGGGGATGCAGGAAAGGTATGCCAAAAACCATGAGCTTTTCAACTGAAATGCAGTTGGTGTGGGGGTCTTGTGGATTCTCATACTATAGAGTCTAAACTCATGAACGCAGTGGAGCCAAGTCTGTGCTACCTATAATTGTAGAAGTGTTTTTTTTCTAGTCAGGAGAGAGTTTTTAGAATACACTGAACAACCTCAAACAAGATCCTTGCTTGTAAGGTCTTTTGAAAGGTGTGTGTTTGTTGGAGTTGAGGGGGGAGCTGGATGACCCAAAGGGGCTTCTGAGCTTGCTTACTCTTACTACTGCATAAACTCGTGCCTTTCAAACTAACTAAATAAAAAATCCAAGACAAAACACCAAACCAGGATCCTGCCTTCTGAGTAGTTATCAGTACTAGACACACCGAAAAAGAAGAGGCCCATCTAAACAAAGGACTTGACATTACACTGAAGGATTTTAAACAAAACTGGCATGACATCTTCAAGGTCAAGAAGTCTGAACTTTCACTTACTCCTTCAGTCTTGGATCCCTGCTCCTGCAAAGTCTTTTGCAGATCTTCAATCTGCTGTTGTAACTCCCCAATACGCTCTTCATTTAGCCTTTAAAGAAAAGACAGTTATTACCCATCTCAATAGATTACAACAGACAATTTGATTTTTTCTGTTTCATATCTGGATGACAACTTTTCAGAGCGTTTAGCTAGCAGGACTTAAGCCACAAAGCAAGTGATTTCAAATGTTTTTAGTTTGGCTTGAACTTCTGCTGAAACAAATACATGGCAGCTTTATTAAATATATTATAATGAAAGACCTAGAATAATTCTGAGTTTTGAGAAAGCTTAACTACTCAAAATTCTCATATCCTAGTAAACTGCTTTCAGCATTCATTAACTGATAGAGAAATTCAGACCATATCCCAGTGTTATGACATGATTAGTCTGAGTTTACATCCATTCCTCGTTTACAAAGAATCATTCAGAGCCAAGAAGAGTGTCCCATAAGCAACACTTTCTTCAGAGTATGCTACACACGGATCTATCACATTTTACAACACCACATTTAAGCTATTTTCCTTCTCGCTTGCTTCATAACCCTTCATTAATGATTACACTGGTGAAAGAAAAAGGATAATTGGCTTCCTGCACAGTGCTACACTACAGATGCAAACCACAAGGCCACTCTGAAGGTCCAGAAATCACTTTTTGTTATATTTTAAGATGCTGTTTTACTCATCACCTTTTCTCAGTTTCTAGTTCATTCACTGTCCGATGCTTTTGCTCCAGCTGTTCCTGGAGTTCTGCAATACGTTCATTTTCTGATCCTTCCTGTTGTAATAGAAGCATCTTATTTTCATGCTGCAGCCGAATAAACATTTCTCTGAATCAAAACCAACAAAAAAGTCACTGTTAATTAAGAAAAAGGTGACTAACTGTAGGAGATAATATTCCTGTTCTCTCCCCCAACCTTGAAGTGAGCGAAACAAGTTCTTCTTAAGGATATAGTTGGGGTAAAAATGCCATTTTTTATTAAAAGGTAGCTTACAATTTTCAAGCATGCCAATAGTTCATTTAAGAGGTATGACCAAAGCTTTAAATTATGTCACTCCAAAACCAGATTTTACTGTGCCTCTGTGTTTCACTCTGGCAGACTTTAAAAGTAACATTAGCCTGCTTTTAGCCATTTTGTCTTAGTTTTTGTGTATTATTTATTCTGTCTGCCACTGGCAAGATTAGAATTGTTTCGCTCCTTAAAGTGGATGTTTCAAGCCAAACTTCATATACAGCAATCTGATATGTTTCTAAGAAAGAATGCAAAGTAATTATTGTACAGGGAAATAATTATGAACAGCTACATGGAGGTCCATCATGGAGGGAAAGCAAGAAATGGGATATAGAGTCATGTTGTCAAAAATATTGACCTTTCTCAGAAACAATATTATGTCCCACCCATGAAAATCCCAAAACAACCTCAACCTTTGTCTTACCTATATTCCACTGGCAGAATTTCAGCAGCAAGATTCTCATGGCTTTTAATACGAGACGCACCTGAAATCGCATGGGAAGTTTAATTTAAACAAACTTTAAAAAATCACTAATATACATTAAAAATCCTCTGAAGATAAAGCAATACCTGTTTGACTCAGGTGATCCTGCTGCATCTGTGAATACCGGAGCTCTTCATTTGTCTCTTTTAACGCATCACACTGTACTATCAGTCTCTAAGAAGATACATTTGAGGTGGAATTAAGTCATACTGCACCGCTTTAAGACCAAGTAACACTAATGAGGAAGAGTACCAACACACATTTTAAGACATATTTTATGTTTTATATGTGTATATATACACACATGAGGTGCTAAACTTCATTTTTATGGTAGCACTACTTCTGGGAAGGTTTTCCTGAAGCAGAACATTTGAGAGAGATTTATTAGATGTTCAAATAACTCTTGTTCAAGAGACTTACCTCTTTTTCTTTGATTAAAGCTTCATGTTTTTCTTCAAGTCGCTTCATTTCAAATGCTAGCTTATCAGCTCTTTTTGATTCTTCAGATAGTTTGTTATGAAGCTCCTGGACCTTTTTATAAAGATTACATACAAGTGATCTCAGTAATAGCTGAGCAACCTCTCCCAGGCACACAAATTACCTCAGCTAAAGTAAAGAAGAAAAGCCTGCAAACCATGGACAACCAATCAGTTGAGAGGGCAACTAAAGTTAAGCTCGCTAGTTTAATAAACATGGGAAAACAGAAAAAGTGAATGGCGGAGTATGAAGGAGTTTTCACAAATAACAAATTCTAAGGGGACAATACAGGTTAAGTCCATGGGCTGTTAAATTAAGCTGTTCAAGTTTCTTCATGAAACTTAGTCATCTTCACTAAATAATTTTATTTTAATTATCTGAGGAAAAAGTAACATCTTAAGTATAGATGCAGCCTTACCTGCCTTTTGTAGGTTTCTAGTTGGGCACGTGCTGCATTGGCTTTCTTCAGTTCATCCTCCAGACTGACTGTATTGTGCATATACATCATGTTGGTTTCCTGCAGAGATTTGACTTGTCTGCGAAAGTCATTCAGATCCTGTAGCTTTTTACGATACACTTCAACAGTTGATTCCAGCTTACTTGCCTTGTCTGCAGTAGTCCTTAAAGTATAAACAGGAATTAGAAGAAGAAAGAAGTATGCTTCTTCAAAAGATTAAAAAACTCAAATTCTGCTTTCATGCATATTCAAGCTATTTTCAAAGGGAGATGCAACGTTCTTAACAGCAGAGTTAAATTTTACTGCTTTATATTTTTAAATGCATAATCAGTGCAGACTTGCATTATGCAAAGGTGGCTTATGAAAATTGAAATCACCATGGGGTTTAAGTGGGAGTAAGACTGACATTCATATGCTAAAAGTAAGAGCAAGGGTTAGAGTGTCAAATATCTCTAGGAAATTCTGTGGAGTGCAATGTAAATGCACCACCACATCCTGTGCTAGATAATCGTCTCAAAGTATTTGTACCTGGTAAGGGAAAAAACATGCAGATGTTCTCATTGTGGGGTTATCCATAGTTATACATAATTAGAGCATAATTGCACTATGACAATGACCAATAGCAGATATGACCAAGAATTACCAGCTAATCATTAACAAAAAATCTACATGGTAAGAAAATATTTGGCTCAAATACACAAATTAATTTTAATATCCATGTTTAATATCTGACATATCACTAGAAGCTAGTACAAGAAAATTATGGAACAAAAATCAATAGTTAAGATTTGTTTCAGATGTTATTTAAGAACCACTATAAGTTAAAACACCTGAAACCACTTTTCTTTCCATGCTTTACTCATACTGTTTTATGAATAGCAGACCTGCTTTTGCAATATGATTTGCTTTGGATATTTCTTGGGTGGTCTGATATGTAATTTACTTTACACAAGCTGCAATTTTATTCTCATCAAGATTATTGTGTATTTCATCATTTTGTTAATTGTGTTGCTAACCTAAATCTAGCCTAGAATGCTGACATCAAAAGTTATGTTAAAGTTCTAGCTGCATATATGCTTTTCTACAGAAAAGGCAGCCTCTTGCCAACACAAATGTCCCCTTAATAAGAATGCACACACACACGCGCCAAAAATTTCTTAATTCTTGCAGAACTTCAGCTTCCATCCCACATAAAGAATAATAATTTCTGTATTCATTAATCGTGCCTCACAGAAAAGTTCCATGTTGCTATTCTTATGCAAACAATAGAGGCTATGCCTGAAAGCTTGTACTCCATCTCTGCTTTGTTAAAGGGCCCTTTTCCAACATTTATTTTTGATCCCGTTCAGATAAGATCTATCTGCAGAAGTAACGACTCAGAAAAATTCTTGTTAAATACAAAGCCTTGGATTTAGTCATTAAATCCTCCTAATGTGTGCGTGGGGAACTCTCTCTATTACATACCTAAGAATATCATTTTCATCTTTCAAGGCTCTGGATTCTTCTGCCAAAGAGGTTAGTTCATTGTTTCTATGTTGCAGTTCAATCAATTGTCTTTCTAGGTCTTCACAATGGACACGATAATCATCTTTTGCAGCTTCAAGCCTATCAGATCAAAACCAGGAACTCTGTTACAAACTCATCATTATTACACATTTTTCATTTAGTGCTAGAAATATTAAAAATAAGCCAAAGGAAACCTACTGATTTAAGTAGCCAGAAAAATAGTACTGTAAGCACGGAACATTTTAATGTCTACCTGTTAAATCATCATTTATTGTATACTGCAAGCTTACCATATCAATATCAAGGATCAAATGAAAAGTGTTCCCCCGCCCCCTCACAGGGATGACAGGGAAAAAGACCAATAGGTCAAAGAAATCAGTAAAGAGATATGGTGTTTTTTCGGGTGTTTAAGGTTTTTTGTTTACACACAAATTGCTTTGGCACTCATTTTCTGCTTTCCGTCACCTCTTTTGAAGTGTCAAATGGCTACAATATGGCAATTATAAAGTAATATTTTCTACAACAAGTAACAGTTTCTTTTTCTTTTTAAAGGCAAGGACTGTCTTTAAAATATGTTTTTACAGTACTCAAAAGGTTTTCTATAAAAAGAAAATGAGATGGAAAATCCTGAAAGAGTACCAGAAATTATCAGGATATATATGACAAGCGAGGGATTTCTGAGAGAAATCATTTCATACCTGAAGTTTTCTTCTTGCAGTTGTTCCAGCTGCAACTGTGCATGAAAATACTTTTTTGCAACCACAGTATTTGGATCATCAAGAGAGTCATCTAATTGCTCTAGCCTGTCATTCATAATCTCATTTTCTGACATCAAGCTGTTTTTTTCATCCTGGAGGGCAGTCACCTAGTGCAGATAAAACAGCATCAACATTGTAAGACCTCGCCAACTGGAAAGAACTAAAGCAAGACAGCAGTACATCACCAAATTAGTTTATGAAAAAGGTTGAGCATTTAGAAATTTTAGAATGTAATTTACACAGCACACTTGAGCATACAGATGCTTTAGTGTATGACAGTTATGAAGCACTAAAGAAAAAGTCCCTCTAAAACAAGACAAATTTTTGTAACTGAAACCATGGTAAAGGCAGACAACGTGACATGGAGAGAAACTGGTACTTTCATTAAAAAGGATACCATGGACGCTGGACAAAAAGCTTAAAGTATCAGTGTAAAGGTACTCTCCATCTTGCTTGTACTTAATAAAAAGCAGGATGGCACTGGCTAGGACACTAACACAGTACTGCCGTGCGCTCAGCAGTGAATGGTTGCGCAAGAAGCGGTTTCAGGTGCCATAAGCTAGTAAGCACACACGCAAAAAAAAACCTAGACAGCTTTATATAGAACATGCATTTTTTGCAACAATCAAACAAGTTTGATACTGAAGGTGTTCACAGCTAAGCAAATGAGAATACATCACTTTATTGAACAGTAAGTATATTAACAGCCATAAAATGGGGAAGGATTAAGAGGATAGAACCTTTAAAGTTTTTCTAGTGAAAGCTGTTGGGTTAATTTTAACATCCTGTCAAACATAAGAGCATGTAGCATGTGTTAGTTAACTGGCATTTAAACAGGGACAATACGCTTTTTGGGTTATGCTTTCCTGAATCATAAAGAAAACCTACCTTTCTTATACTCTTGGAAAATATCAAGGAAGACTGAGACCTTACAAGTGAATTTATTAAGAATTAGTTTAAATAAGAAGCGTCAGTCAATATTATGGCTTCAAATAAAAATAAACAAATAAAAACATATAATGGTGACATTATTAGATTAAACATCAGATATAACCTACAGTATGCAATATTAAGAAACAGTTTGTTTGCAATCATAATTTAAAAGTCCGTCAGTCAGATATAAGAAACAAAATAGTAGTTAATCTACCACTTCATTAGGTGCTGGCTTTCTAGGTGCACTTCTTTTTACATATCAGAGATCACTTTAAGAGATACATGTACACAAAACACCTGTGAGTAGAGAGCATATCTGAGCCTTGCTCAGCATAATACTTCCTGTTCCAAGGTTCAGCCACTCCTTACTCCTTAAATATGCACAACATTCACATTTTTAGAATAATGTTAAAAACCCACCCATGTCAGACTCAAAAAACAAAACCAAAAACCTATCACACGACTCGGGAACTGAGAAAAGACAAAAAACTTGCTCTTTCTGATAGCTTTCTCTTCTTCCTTTATTATTTCATCGTAACAAGTGGTGACAGTCAACACAAATTATGAAAAGATGTTTTAAAAACACGCCACAGTATTAAAGAGCTATGGTATCTTTAACTCATCTGTTTATACTCAGCAGTACCTTTCCCTCAAACACCTTTCATGCCTTCAGCCGACCCATGCTATGTTATGAGCAACTGGCTTTATGTAACCTGTCAAATTAATAGAGAAATCTCAAAAGAGAAGTTTGTGGAGACAGGAGAAAGCCTGGGACTTCTCTAGTGAGACATACTAAGCCTCCTAACGGAAGCAGAAAGTGCAAGTAAATTGTTACCCCAACACCTCTAGAAGAAAGAGCTTTTGAACAGCGAACACGCTTTTTGAAGTTTAACAACTGTAATCTGTGAGTTCAGCTGCCAAATCAATCCCCTTGCCCATTTAAAAATCATTTTCTCCTGCAGATTCTGCTTACAAGTATTTTTAGATCTCTGCTTTCACTAGGAAGCCTTACTACTGCCTTAAGTAAAAAGAAAATTAAATATCAATTCAATTCTAATAATATCTTCCTGGGCATGGCAATTAGCTATAAGGTACTTTAGAAGTATTCTACTTTTTCAGTCATCATTACCTGTAAGAAATATAAAACTGTCCTCTGGTTTTGTGGGGGCCTCACAGGAGCCAGAGTGCTATACTGGCTGTGTAACATGCCACCCAAATGTTCTCTCTGCACAGACTCAAATCTGAGACAAACTGCCTTACCAGATAAACCTCTTCCTATTCTCAGACTATAGTGCCATGAAAGAGGAATCGTATTTAGGGCTAACAAATGGATTTTTCCCCCTTTTTTTCTTTAAAATTTGATTGAAATGCAAGTTCCTGTTTATTGTTATGAAGTCTGCTTTCCTCTTTCTAAAGAGTGACTTAACTTCTATATCCATTAAAAATGAAAGTATTAGTGTCATTTGAAAACGCCAGTAACAATCTATTAGTTTCCATTATTTGTATTTCCTGAAATATCCTCCATGTTGCAACTGTGCATGAGAAAAAGTAAATTTTAGCCTTTCATCAGCCCCTATTGAAAACAGCATAATTTTTCTATGATTAAATGTAATGACTGATTATTACATGAACTGGATTTTTTTGGACACAGTTCAAAAGACTAGAGGAAGCAGTGACTAAAAAAAAGGGGCAATTTTTAGAGCCATAACAACATTGTTTGATGCTACCTGCTACTAAGAGTAAACACAAAACTAACAGACCAAACAACCTTTGAGTTAACAGTTGGCACAGGACCTCAGCTTACACTTCCATCAGAAAACTATTTCCAGTAACTGCATTTTGGAGTACAGAATAATTGCTTTCCCCTCACAAACAACTAAGAATTCTCATAGAAACTTAAATAAATGCACAACTCACTTTGTCCTTCAGAATTTCTGCATCTTAATAGCAGTGCCACTACATATTAAAGAAATAAGCAATTACTGTTTCTTACCTGTAAATCTAGCTCCTGACATCTTTGTGCCAACTCTTCTTTTTCTGCTAGTGCTTCCTGAAGCTCTTCCAAAGCTTTTTTAAGCTTTTAAAAAATAAGACAGTGAATCATTCTGGCCCACATCCAAAGTACTCACAGTTCTAGCTTCCAAAATGTCTCTGTTCATTTCACCTGCATTTTAAATGACTACCACATGTAGCAAGCAAATTATTGAAACTCAGAGTAACATCCAGATTCAACACAACAACTTAAGCTAAAACCATAACAAAACCAAACACAGAAACATTCGTGTTGTCACAATTTCAAATTCTCTGCCTCTTAAATCAAAAGCCCTTCATCTCAGAATAGAAATACTGAATAGAAATCCTTTATGGGCAGATACTTTTAAAGACAGCTTCATTTTATGTGCAACACCTTGTACTGCTCAGGTTATCAAGAATTTTCATGACCCCTTAAAAATAGCCTGACGTGTCTGGCCTGACATGGCTGAGCCTTGATGTACCCCTAGCTCTTCTTGCAATATAGCTTTGCACTGGCCAGCTTTACCCCATCCAGGAAGATGACACAGCAGTCACTGCATTTTTTTTTTTTTTTTTTTAAAGAAACTATAAAATAGCACTTAACCTGTCACTTAATTAGCACTAAAAACAGCATTACTGTATTCTATATTCTCTGCCTACATCAGTATGTTGCTGCGCCCTTTGTGAACTAGTACAGTTTAATCAGATCAGCTCCAAGCGGAACACAGACCAGTTTGTGTAGATAGAAGACAAAAAGAGTACAATTTATTGTTGAGGTCATTTTTTTTTAAAAAAAACGTCTAGAACTAGAGAGCAAGAGAAGCCCTCCTCTTCATTTAAGGGATGGAAACCAGCTTATTGTCCAGGCTTGAACTACAACAGCAACAAATATTAGGCAGTTACCTGTTGTTCCATTTCACCTGATGCATCACTTGTGGAAGGACCCGTTACTTCCTTGCTCATGAGCTACAGAAAGAGACCGCAGGAAAAGAAGGTTAAATTAGAGGTTAAATATCTGTAAATCCACTGTCTACTGAGTACCAATTTTATTTTCCACCATGTCCTTGCATCCCTTCCATATATCAAAACAGATTAATAATAATTAAAAAAACACTTCATGGTTGGTAAAGGATCTAAACAAATCTAGAATAAGATGACTTTTTTTTACCAACTCCTCCCCAAATTAACCAAATTAGCAGTAACGTCTTATTGGATGAACCTGTGATCTGTTATTGTGAACCCCTAGCCAAGTTAAAATGGAATGAACCAGAGGACAGGATTTCACTCAATTAATTTAATAGTCATCACACTTCTTTTGTCACATTAATTGCCATTAAGCAAACAATGGGAACATTAACATAGCTCTCACTGATCTCCAGTACAATGATGTACACAGTATGTTTATCAACACTTAAAGGGCCTTACTCCGTACTCAGGAATTACACTCTTATTTCTAGACCTTCTTCAGAAACAGTTTGATTAGTCAGAATACAACAAGAAGTTTATGAATTTATTTCTCCCAATGGGACACTTACAGCTTTAAAGACTACATAGTCAATTTAAACCTAAGTTTTAAAGCCTACTACCAACTCCACTGTTACCTTGATGAGGGTGCAATTAGCCATTACATTTTCTTCAGAGACAGCATTTAGTTTTTCCCTTCCTCCACACTCTGCTTCACAGTCCTGAAGCTCACAGATGCGAGTGACTCACACTAGTTCACTGTAGAGCCACGCTGTGAGCTGGATCACTAAGATGATCCAATTAAGAACAAATTAAGATAGCAGGGGTGTGTGCGTGTGTGGAGCACACCATGACAAGAATAGAAGAGATGCACCTGGGAGTTTATAAATCAGATGCTAGAATGGTCTGTTAGAACAACATAGCCTCACAGTTACAATAAGCTTAACCTTGGGTCCAAGACTACAGCACTAGGACAGAAATTTCAGAACCTGGCTCCAGTATAATTGGCGACTGGCAACTAGATACATTTCTTAGGTGAAACAGGAAGTGTTAAGCATTTATTGTCTCCACAAGTTGTATGTTTGGGCATACAAGACTAAAATCAAACCCCTTTGGCTGGAGTCTGGGGCCTCTTGGTCCTGATCCTCCCAGATAGTTTAGGGAAGTACTTACAGTCTCTTCCCTGACCTTTGTTTGAATGAAAGAATTCACAAAGATCAACAAATGGATATTCGGACTTCTCAACTGACAGCATTAGGTTATGAATTATTACTTACCTCTTGAATGGCCGTCATGACAACATGTTGAACAGACTCTTCAAGGGTCATGATATTTTGTATGTGTTCTGTGAAAAAGAATTTGTAGTGACATATGATAATGTTCATCTTAATGGCTTGAGTAACATGATATACCATTTGCAGAAAGATCCAAAAGAAACTATTCTCCATAAAGCTTCTTCAAAACAGCTTCTTTGTACAGAGCACTGCTGTTAACCAACAACATTATTATCCAGTATTATGGTAGATAAGCATAAGAGATTATAATCACTTAAGTGAACAAATTTACACTGTGCATAATAGAGCAAGGAAGTTTTAAGACATCCCTATTTACATGGTTCTTTTTTCATATTTCATACATACATAGACGTATGCATATACATAAGCTTTTCCAAAGAGTCAACAAGCTTGCAATTGGGTAAATAACTCTTAATGGAAAAGAGTAATTGCTAGCATCTTCATTCCCAGTGCAGCCTGATGGCTTACTTCCCAAACACTCTCTGATGCAGTCATTTCAGACTACCTAGGAATCACACCTATCCTACTAACAGAATCACACTGAGGATTCCTTAGCCATCAGAGCATTGAGCTCTGGTAGGGGGAGAGAAAAAAGCAACTAATTCAGTCTTGAGCCTCTGCAGATAAACAAAAGGCGATTTCTAATGTAAGTTTTTAGTTTAATTTGCTTGATTTGCATTTGAATAATAAGTTTTAGTACACATTTTAACAAGTATAATTAATCCATGCACAATTCAGACTTTTTTTTTAAACCTACTCTGAGCAAGGTTTGAGTTTTATTCACAGAAGTTTCTCATAGAATTTTCTGATTGTTAGGGAACTCCAGTTCCAGAACAGGCATGGGACATCTTAGCAACAGAGACTTTTTGGTATGTAAGAAAGAAAAGTTTCTACATCTCTTCCACCTTCACAATTACCTGAGGCAGTTTGCTGTTTGTTGAACAGATTAAGTTAGTGCGTACCTTGTTTCCTTTCACAGTTGACTGCACAACCTAAAATAAGCTGCAAAAGCCTGCCCAGTTCAGTGGGATCCGAGTTCTCGGATATCCGGTTTAAGTCTGGAATAAGCTCTTCTGAAATCTGCTGACCCAAGAACTGGGGGGGGAAAAAAACCAAACATGAAGAAAGTAGACTCCCACTTTTGTACAACATAAAAATCTGGTATCATGTAAGAAATCTGGACTCAGTAAGCCATCCAGAGAAAATCATCTATTAATAAATTTGTTACCATAAAACTTATGGAAGGGGAAGATTTTAAAAGTGGAGATACACACTAAAAATATTGCCTTATGAGAGAGTATATAGACAGAAGTACCAGATTAGAAAATCTAAAGAGGCCTAGATAAAGTAGATGTTCTTAACTCATTTGTTACAGGGCTTCATACATGAAACTCAGATGTCGCACACTATGCCTCTTGTACCAGCAAAGACCGTTCCAAATGTTAGCCTCCATCCCTCAGTGTGGATGCGTGTTTGGGGTAAGGGGTACTCGATCCACTGCTAGCCAACCACCTTTACCATACTTGGCACCTCAGATTTTTCTCTGAATAGATTTAAATTTAAAGTAGACAGCATTAAAAAATACATACAATCAACCTAGCAATTACTTAGTGCAATGAAGTTATGCCCTTTAAGAGCTCTATAAAATTTTTCTGGCAAAACCATAAGTTTTGAAAGTCTATTAACTGGGGGTTTAGTTAACTGACCACTTATACAGGAAAAAGCGACAGTAGTAAGTTGAAAGTTCTTGGACTAGACCTCAAATATGAGAGAATTAATTTATTCTACCAACATAATAAAAAAAGGAATTAAAAGCACTTCCAAATTCAGTTGCTCCTTAATCCTTCCAAGTGCTTCTCATAAGCCTAATGAAGTTCTACTTACAGGTTTGTCAGAGAGCCTCAGTACTGGCAATACAGAAAGACTTTGCACTCGATATTGCAACTAAGCCCAGGTGAGACCAGGAAGCCATAAGATGATCTGGCAAGTTTTTCTATACCACACTCATTACATATGAGTAATGTAATCAGGCTCCATACAAAATTCAGCAATTTTTTTTCTTTTTCAATCCAAAATACAGCACCCTTTTATGGCTACCATACTCACCCCGTATGACAGAGAACAAACCATAATCATTATGACATCCAGGAGGATTCATAACTTATTTCCCAGTTTCCCAGTGAGTATTATAAAACCTAGACTAGGGCTGCAGAATTTGTCGTGTACAAAAGGATTACAATTTCACTAAACAAGAGCAAATATGAATGCACATACACAAGTCAACAGGATTCTGCAGCTCAGTCCTCATGACATTCACCTAGGCAATGACAGAGGCATGGCCTCCCAATTATACTCCAAGAGTTTATCTAAAATACACCTGCTCAAATTAATCTTATATTCAGTCAGGCCTCCCACTTAACCAAATAATTATCATATACTTCTTGCCAAAAAATTCCTTAAAATAAATTACTTTGCCAAGAAAAAAAAGGTAGGTAAAGGAAGACAATAATCATAACATTTAATGATTAGAACAACAAACTTGCTGCTTTGCCATACCTCATGATAGTAGTCCATAATTCCTTGCAGTATCTTCTTCAGATTACTGGACTAATTGTTGTACATGAAAGATAAGGTTACAGACTTTTATTAAAAATTCTTAATTTTGCTGAAATTAAATAATAATTTATAATAAAATGTTTACATAGCAGCTATACAAGAGAACCCTATAATGACAAGGGAAGAGAAATATTACAACAGAAAATCCCCATGCAACAATCCTGGAAGGCACGTAAACTATCAACAGAGAGTTCCAGTTCATTTAAAATAAAAAACCTAAAAAGTCTGAGCTTAATTCTGTGGTTTGTGGACTGCAAGATACCCTCAGGACAGACATGATATCCAACCCCACAAACTTCAGCATTGAATACCTTTATTCTCCAGTTGTCACCAACATCATCTTTAATGCGATTTAGCCAAGATGCATCAAACCAAGCAACATCTCTGAAACAAAATTAAATTATTAAACATCAGTAAGTACAGACTTAAATAAATAAGATACCAGATTCCCAGCATTAAATCATCAGCTGCTTGACTACAGTGTCTAATGAGGCATGAATTCCTGGAGACTGCAAGTTATACCAATGTCACAGGAAATTTCCATCTTGCTGGCTGCATTAAGACACCACCTTCCAGGGCAGGAAGAATTTCTGTACATGGTTGAGCTGGCTACAGCTAGGAACAAAAGGACGTGAAGGCCTTTGTCGTGCTGAATTTTTATACCCAACAAAGTGATCATAACGCTGTAAAGAAACATCCTCTTTTGACTAGTACTGACATTAAGTTTGGTACCTACTCTTCTACATTTGGATTTTCTAATTTACACTACAATTTGTCAAAGGCACTTATCAAGAAAAAAAACCCCATTTTAAATTACCAGCATTTCTTATTTTTTGTATGTCTTTGGTTCCCCTAGGCAGAATTATATTCACTTTGACAGCATAAACAAGGATGAGGGATGAGTTGATGGGAGGGTGTTTACACACACTGAGCTGCCAAGCAGTACAATCACAGCATATCTAACAATACCTTAACTTCTACACTACACTGTTTATTCAGTGGTCTCAAAGCATCTAATAAAAGACAATTATTATCCTCACTCGCATATCAAACAACTTGTTGTAAAGAATTTTGCCCAAAGCCTGTGGTAGCCTAGTACCACAAACACATGGGAAGCGACCCTCAGCGAATCTTTGCTAGGGAATCCTAAATCAATTTTTGCTGTGCCCCAGGAAAAGGGTGAGCTCTGTCTTTACACAGCACACTTAATCTTTTCAAGCAGACAGGGAGGTTTCTGGCTTTCGTTTTTTTGGGGGTTCTTTTGTTGGTAGTGATGGTGTTGGGGGTTTTAAGTAATTTCTTAGTAATCAAAAATATAGTTTGAGCAGGAGATGGTAATTCAGATGTCTTTATTATCTGAGCCAACTGCAACAATAAAATCGCAGTGATGACTTGTAGCATCATACTCTTTCAATAAAAGACTTGTGTTACAACCCTCTGAAGTAATTGCAAATTTCAAAACTAGTGTGTCACTCAAGCCAGTATCATTAGTCATCATATCAATAAAATAGGAATTATTTTGCTTTTGATTAGCAAACTATTATTTTTAACAATAAAATTGCCATTGAAGTTTCACAATTCTTTTTTCTCCACACAAATAGTAAGTTATCATTTAAACCCTAGAAATTAAATCTAAATCAATTGAGCAATCCCAAGAATAAGAAAGCACAGAGACATGCCTTTTGAACTTTTAGTTCCTCGTTCCAAAAAGGAACATGTTGCCTGAAGCATGGCTATCCATGGAAATAGTGTTGATGGGAAAAGCGAAAAAGATTGTATCATTCTTGCCCAGTTACTCTTAACCTTATCATCACCTTCCCCATCCTATCATATCACTATTCAACTATTATATCATCCCCAAAACAACAATACAAAGGCATGTTTTATCTTCTGCTATAAACTGTCTGCTCTTAAGTTTCTGTCTAATTTAAAACCAACTATGTATGTCAAACAAAACCCTCAAGAAATTCAATACCTCTTCTTTGAACTTAAGTATCAACTTACATTTGGTGAAGTACCTGCGCCATGGCAACCCCGTTAGTCAAGTCCTGAACATTTCTGCAAGGTGCAGCAGTATTGAATGTCTGCAACTAAAATAGGGAAAAACATTGTTTCTCACTCAGAAGACAGAAGGACAGGAAATTAGTTATCATTTTCATTTTCCTCTTTAAGGCATAAGAATTTATCAAGATGTCTTTCTACTTGAGGCAGCTGAAACCCTTTCTGAATAATGCAGTTTTTATCCCAATTATCTCAATACTTGTGACTGTTGATCATGACTAGTAGCTTAAAAAGTTAGTACTACCATGCTTTGCTTTTTCATGCTAGTCCTTCTATTGTCAATCAGATTATGGAACACTATCTTGGGAAACTAAAGTCATATTTATCCATCCCTCAAATTATGTTGCAGTGCTTAGTTCTGCACACATAACTACCTAAACAAGAAATGGCATCAGAACAATGGGTGAAAATAGAGGGGGGAAAAAAATTCCACTTTTTTTAATACAAGCATTTAGTAATGGAAGTCATGACACCAATACAGACCCCTGAAATTATTTCGGGGTTAAAAATGGAAGGGAGAAAATTATGCAAAAATAGTGGAAAAGACTTTTGTCAGAGCTATTGCACACTTTAAGGATATGAAGATAGCCGAAAAGTACTGAACCATTTCAAGTCCTGTGGGCTGGCAACTTATTTCCTTGCAATTCAGAAACTCCAAAATTACTCTAAAGATGTTCCTATTGGAATACACAACTTCAAAATACTGCTATAAATCCAAGAAAATTTACTATAACTTGAAGTTATGTATCAGTCGCCTTCTCCAGGAGCTCAGGTCTATCGACCTCTACCATACCCATTCTCCTCCCACTCTGTCTTTCCCAGGACCAACAGTCCTCATCTATTCAGCCAATTCTCATACGGAAGCTCTTCCAAACTTCCCATGAGAACGGTCATTTTTTCCTCTTCATTTTCTGGTTTTCCTGCATTTAAGATCACTAGGATGGGATTACCTCAATGTTAAAAATGTTTCCCTGTTTTGGATATTGTGTCTTTTTCTAAACTATCCCCAAGCTTATAGCTAACATTTTGACAAAATTGGCTATTGTAATTGCAATGTTTCATTCCCCAAAAACCAATCAGCTCAGAACTAACTATTCTAGGCAAGACAGCTGTTTCCACACACGTCAGTTCATCACATAGTTACTCAGGAAAATAAGAGCTCATCAGCAATTCTTTTAAGTTCAGCCTTCTTTACAATGATGAATAAAATAGAAAGGAGAAAGTTTGCTGTTAAAAGATGTATATGTGGAATAGAAGCAAGAATACATCCTTCTAATCTCTGTCCACTGCAAAAATTGACTTCTTAAACTTACTATGTTTACAATGTCCTAAATTACCTGTCCATCTCTGAGAGGTATTTCCCAAACATCCCATGAAAGTTAAGCATCTTCCGAGGCCACTGGTGAATGACCTTGTCAAGTGTATTTGGGAAACGGAGCTACTTGGACCAGAGTGGTAGAAAAAGCAGAGTTTCTGACTGTGAGAATTTGAGGCAGTTGTCGTCTATAAAGAGTGACTGTATACTCTGAATATTTGTTTGCTTCCTTTAAAAAGAGTCTAATCAAGCCAAGAAGAGAAAAATAGGCAAAGCAAAGGTTTGGGGTTTTTTTAATTTGTTTTTCAATTTAAAAAGGGTGCGTTTTTTTTTTTTTTTTAAATCCTGTATTACCACAAGTGAGAAGTCAGTAATCCCTGGTTGGTTACATAAAAGATTAAGTAGAACACCACAAACTGAAGCAGCTGTGATTGACAGCACTGGTTTCTAATACTACTACAGCCTTAATGCCAATGCAAAAACAGGCACACAAGCTTGCAAGTCAAGACTGAGCATGCCAGAATTTAGAGTTTTATGGCACAATATCGTGATGCTGCCATTTGGATATTGTAAACCAAAGAAATTGCTACTACCATTTCACCCAAGCCTGTTAGAGCAGGTAAACAAAGCCTTAAAAACACTGTGACGTACAACACAGCCTCATGTACGCCAGTATCTCCCAGAATAGAAACAGCTAATTAAAATTTAGCAAAAAGCAGGACTGAGAGTCCTAGTTTCCCCATATATTTAGAAGGTACATCAGCACCTAGAAATAATATGAGAGTAGAAGTATTAACTATGGATTCTCCAAACCCCATGCCAGCCCAATCATTTCATCAGAACAGATTTTTACTGTACTTGCAAGACCAGTGAAAGTAGTAGGCATGGGGAGGAGGTTGGTAGAAGCAGCCATGGACTTCAAGACTGTAGCAGTACTCTTTTCTTTTTTCCCCCAAATTTGATTATTTTTACTAAATATAGCTTCAAGGACATGCTGCAATCCATTTCATGAGTCTAGCTTAAATGCACCCTGCCACTTGCTGCTACAAGAGAAGCAAGTAATTTTCTCTCAGACATACAGCTATTATGATCACAATATGTATCTGGAAATGTAGTTTTGTAGCATGTAACACTTAATGCCTTTTCTCTGGATCTGCTGAAGGCTCTACCACCAAACAGCTGTAGATGAAACGAGAGTGTTCATATTACCCAGCAGAAATCCATCCATCCAACACTTGGGAAGGTATGCCCTCAATTTCATCCAGATGATGTAGGGTTGAGGTTCTCCATTTTATATCCAGGTTATACACACGAGGGACAGAAGTTTGATAAAGAGATTTTAAAGTAACAATAAACATTCCCATTCTTAATCCCAGAATATTAATAGAATATCTAGGCCATTGGACAGGCTCAACATTACCAGTGCTGCCTAGTGCCAAACAAGGGTACATCTATTGTGGAGAAACCTTTCTGTTTAAGATGTTACCATACATCTAGTCTCTAGTTTGGAGACGAAGACAGAAGCAGCCTCAAAGCTGGACAATACCAAAAGACATTCAAGAAACCTTTGCTCTACTACAGTAAAGAAAACACCAATTGTAATGGCACCTAAACACAGAAGATATTACTGCATCGCTTGGCCTACCGTTGCTACTATTATCACTCCACTCCTACCCAGAGGCTGAAAATATTAAGGTTTACTTCACATATACTAACAGAAGTTTGTCTTTCTGACTTAGAAAATAGTTTCTGCAACAGACTTGCGAGTTCAATCTTAGCAGATACTACTTAAGTAAACTTTCCTTGGAAACTCATGCATATCTCCCCTATAATTTAATCCAACTCCATCATGTTTTTCCTGTAACATCCTCAAAACTTTAAATGCAATGACACCTGGCTTGCAGAACCAATAGATAACATTTTTATTCAAATTTTCTCTTTCTTCTCTGGACAATTCATGCTTTCTAATACAGAATTTTCTAAAATAAACACACACAAGATCTGGCAGCAGAACACAGAAAATCATGATCATGTCTTCGCTATACTAATGAGTAAATAAATTAAGAAACCTTTAGCACCAGAGAGTTACAGAATCCTTTTCAGATATACAGCATTTCATTCTCCTCTCTGCAAATATGCTCAACTTCAGAAGATCGATTTTTTTTCTTGTTCAGACTGAAGGTCAAGTTGAAAGGATGTTTGAAACATATCTTAGTGTTAACAGTGGCTTTCTACTAAGTTGTAAACTAGGTCTGAGAAATAGGGTGTTAAATCTGAAAACATGCATCTGGCAATGCATCTGCTGAGTGTTGTATACAAAACCTGAACACACAGAGCTGGATGTTCATTTACATAAACAACACCACACAAAGCTCTTTCAGTTTAAGGCTAGATAAAGTTCCATCAGCATTCCCTTTAAGATTCGTGATCTAATTACAGCTATGCACTATGATGATACCAAAAATGAAAATATCTTAAGCAGGAATTGTAGAAATTGTAAGAGTTCAGCATAGCTGAAAGGATTTTGAGACAGAGTTCAAGAATGCATTTGCTCAAGTTGCTTCACTGATTTATTCTGCAATTGAATAATGATGCAATTATTCCTAACTGACTACTGAGAAGAAAATACAGAGTTAAAGAATCCAAAAAAGAGAAAGAAAAGTACATACAGAAGATACCAACTCTAGAAAGGCAACAACTAGACAACTGAAATTCTTAAGACCAACAAAACATTGAAAACATATAAGGTCACTAAAAGCAAAATGGAGAAAGGAAAAGAAAGGAGGAAATTGGCTTCAGTGATTTATTACTCATCAAAATTTCTGAGCTGCCATATAGAACGTAAAAGGAACACCTACTCTAGTAGCTGTTGCTGTCACTTTTGCCAGTTTCATTCCTGGATCTCCACAATGCTTCTAAACCACTCCCTTCCCTGATTTACACTTCACGCAGGTAAAACACCCGCTATTTCTAGAGAAACTCTTCATGCCAGGTAACTGTGGCCTTCTCTACCAAGATTTGATGTGAAATTCTATTTAGTAGAGCCCACTCTCACCAAAAACATTGCATCTGCAAGACCAGAATTACAGACAAGGAAGCTGAAGAAACTTGGAAAGAATAAGGGATTAAAAAAAACAAGCTTGATCGATGAACTGAACAAATAACGTGCTTCTTGCAGACATCGCACATTCAGGTGCACTGTGCCTGACTAATAATTGTTTTAACCAACTGAAAGCTGGTATGAAATGTTCTGAGGTTTCTGCTCCTGTGAACTCAATTCAAATTACTTGCATGTATTTGTTATTATTGTTAATTACTGAGCAGTTTCCACATTGAAGCCACTGCTGA